AAGGAAAAGACAAGCCACCAACTGGGAGAAAATATTTGCAAATTATATATCTAACAAGGGGTTAATCTCTAATATATAAAGAACTCACACAACTGAGCAACAAAAATCAACCCAGTCAAAATATGGGCAGAGAATATAAACAGACATTTTTCCAAAGAGGATATACAGATGGCCAATAGGCACATGAAAAGATGTTCAACATTGCTATCATCAGGGAAATGAAAGTCAAAACTACACTGAGATACTGCCTTACAGCTGTTAGAATGGCTATAATCACCAAGACAAAAAATAGCAAACGTTGGAGAGGTGGTGGAGAAAAGGGAGCCCTCACACACTGGTGGTGGGAATGCAGACTGTTGCAGCCACTATGGAAAACAGTATGGAGATTTCTCAAAAAGTTAAAAATAGAAATACCTTATGACCCAGCCATCCCACTACTGAGTATCTATCCAAAGAACTTGAAATCAGCAATTCCAAAAGTCCCATGCACCCCTATGTTCGTCGTGGCATTATTTATAATAGCTAAGATATGGAAGCAACCTAAGTGCCCATCAACTGATGATTGGATAAAGAAGATATGGTATATATATATACACAATGGAATACTACTCAGCCATAAAAAAGGATAAAATCGTCCCATTCACAACATCATCGATGGCCCTTGAGGGTATTATGTTAAGTGAAATAAGCCAGATAGAGAAAGATGAACTCTGTATGACTCCACTCATAGGTGGAAGTTAAACAGAGAGACAAAGAGAACTGATTGGTGGTTACCAGGGGAAAGGGGTTGGGGGGGGGGGGGCAGGGCACAAAGGATGAAGTAGTGCACCTACAATGTGACTAATGATAATGTACAACTGAAATTTCACAAGGCTGTAAACTATCATAATCTTAATTAGAAGTTAAAAAAAAAAGGACAAAGTTGCCACATTTGCAACAAAATGGATGGACCTCAAGGATGTTACATTAAGCAAAATAAGCCAGACAGAGAAAGACAAACATTGTATGATTTCAGTCATGTGCAGAAGATAAACAAACACACGGACAAAGAGAACTGTTTATGGTTACCAGGGGGAGGGGGTTTGGAGGTGGGCACAAGGAGCGCAGGGGTGCATTTATATGATGACTGACAAATAATATTGTACAACTGAAATTTCACAATGTTGTAAACTATCAACCTCAACTAAAAAAATAAAAATAGGTTATGAAATGCATAAACTAAAAAAATTGGTTAACATAGTAAAAGAAAAAAGACCATATTCCTTAGTTATGTATGTTCTCGTGTGTAGAACTCTGCTGCTTGATTTTTGGGAATAAGTAAATAATAATGTATTAAAAAAAAGAAGATAAGCAGATTTATTAATTGAGGTACCCCTCTAGAGAGTGCTATTACAGTAAAGGATCCAGAAGAGGTGTTCTAGTTAATCAAAGAGTAGAGAATTTTCTGTTTTTAGAGTTAGAAAACAATTAAATGTCTATGGGATTGTTATTAGGAACCAACAAAATCATACTGCTAAAATGAGCTGGCAAGTATTAGAGGTTTCCATATGATTTAAAACCAGCATCTTTGTTTTGCTAATTGCACCTTGAAAGCTCAAAATAGGTTCAAGGTAACATTAGTTTTGGATTAAGTCGGGGTGTTGAAGACTAATTTGGTCCTCTGTCATTTTATCTCTTCCTATAGATTTGGGCATTGCTTAATAAATACCCAAAATAAATAGAGGGAACAATGTAAACAACGACATGTGTTGCCATGTTAATAATGTTACTGCTGTTGGCTGTGTACCTTGTGATAAACTGCTGTCTTCTTATGACCTTTCAAAGCTGGGGTGAAATACATTTAAATCAAGATATTTAAATAGCAGATAGAATCCAGTGGGCACAATAAAAAGTATGACCAACTGAAGTTTATTCCAGCATTGCAAGGATGTTTAGATATAAATATTAGAATATTTACTAAATTTATAGATCAAAAGAAATCTAATTTCACACATTGAAAAGGAATATAGTAAATTTCAGCATATCTTCTTGCTGAAAATTCTTAAGCACATAGAAATAGATGGTTATGTTCACATGATTAAATATATAGTAATAGATCTACAGAGTACAGTAGACATAGCAAACCAAAAGTCAGCATTATGCATAATAATGATGACGTGCTAGGAGTATTCCTAGTAAAATGTGAGAAGTAAAACAAAATGCGTGCTGGTACCATTATTGTTAATAAGGTTCTATAATTAGACAAAAGAATAAGGTGTTAAGAAGAAAAAAGCGAAATCATCATTTTTTTAGATTATATGATCATATACTTGGAAAACCCAAGCAGGTCACTGAAAAATTACTAAAACAATAAAAGATTCAGTGAGATGGCCATCTTCAGTGTAATCAGAACCCTCACCAAGATTGCCATAACAAGCCCTCTTTTCCTTCACTAATTAGATACTTCTACAATGAGTGATACGTTCTCCTGTTACTGGAGCACCTTGTGGTTAAGTATTGAGTAAATGTTATAACTTAGAAACTGTCTTTTACTAGTGTAGGAAAGATTTAGAGATGTTTAAAGGCATCAAACATTAATTCTCAAATTAATCTGTAAATATAATTCCAGGCCATCATTCTGACTTCATTTATCTCATTGGTTCAGTCTGATTTAGAAGTTCTTAATGTGGGGTCTGCAGATTCCTCCGTCAGTGATCTTCAGGAAGTCTGTCTGTCCTTGAAACTGCTAAATATGTTTTTTGTTGTTTGGGTGATCCCTCATTTTAGTCAAATTTTCAAGGAGTCTCTGGCCCCAAAAGAGTTTAAGAACCACTGTTCTAAATCCTTAAATGGTTTAATTTTTTTTAATTTGCTTTCAGGCTGGTGGGCCACCTAAGAAGGGGAAACCAGCTGCACCAGGAGGCACAGGGAGCATTGGAACCAAGAACAAGAAAGGAGTGGAGACCAAAGAAATAGTGGAGCCTGAGCTCTCGGTCAGTATGACACAGTTTGCCTCAAGCTCATAAAACCATGGAAAGTCAATACCTATGAGAAGGCTTGAGTTCTTTCTTGCCTGAGTTCTACAAAATATAGTTAATTGATATCTTTTGCTTCTTGAAACTGCCTTGAACAAACTTCCCCTTTATGGTAGTATAATAGCAGCCTCAGATACCATAGTATCCCTAGCGGAGTGTTCTTGTAGTTTTGGCTGGGGTATTTTTATGTTCTCACCATCTGTTTCCTTAAACAATTGTTAATGTAAACGTTTTTGTGTGTTGCAGATAGAAGTATGTGAAGAAAAAGCTTCAGCTGTCCTTCCTGCTACGTGTATACAGCTTCTGGATAGCAGTAACTGGAAGGAAAGGCTGGCCTGTATGGAAGAGTTCCAGAAGGTAGGTGCTTAGGGATGAGTTGAGCGTGAAAGAAAACTACATTCCATAGAAGTGAGGAAATTGACAAATGAAGGACTGTCCTAATTGCTGTGTTTTATAACCAGTGAACATGTTCCAGGATATTAACTAAGGAGGAGGTGGAGTTTTTTATTGGTTTGTTTAGCTGTGTGATGTTTATCTTTCAACGTCTGCTTTCTGTGGCTTCTCTAAGCTCATAACGTAGTACTTACTCCAGAGAAGTGTTTATTCTGAGTTATAAGGTTTAGATGAATTTTACTATTACAGTGTTTGTTCATTAGACTTACTAGGCAAAGAGATCTCTCCAATTAAACCACCCCTCATCCTTTTCTGTATTTCCCTCTTTGTTGTCATGATTATTGGAACAACAGACATTATCACTTGATATGAGAAGCTCCTTTCAAAACTCTGTGTTGGAAAGGAGCACAATAGTTCATTTTGATGTATATCCTGTGATTCTAACGAGGAAGGGTGTGGAGAAACTGAAAGAGCGCTGGGATTTGAGGCAGGAGACGTGGCTTCCAGTCCCACGTCTGCCACGCATCAGGTTTAGACCTGAGTTGTGGATCTTTGAAATTTCATATTTAACCACTTCTAACCTACCCTACTTTGCTATGTTTTTAGGAAAATCAAATAAGTCAAAATATGTGTAAGCAGTTTCTGCCACACATTAGGCAAACAAAAACTGTTTCTGTTACTTTCCTTGGAGCAGTTTATTGTGAATTCTTGAAATGTGAAAAAGAAAAGTTTAAATGATGTTAATGGAACAACCATATTTCAAAGAGCCAACTTAAGAAACATTGTAACAGAAACTGTATAAGCTCGGTCCACAACCCTCATTTCCGTTCTCCTCCCTCCTTCAGAGGGAGCCACTTCCTTCATTTGGGGATGTGCTCTTTCCTTGGAACTCATTGTTAATGCATAACTCTCCTACTCTCTTCTACTTCAAGGCTGTTGAACTCATGGACAGAACTGAAATGCCATGCCAGGCATTAGTGAGGATGCTGGCCAAGAAACCCGGATGGAAAGAAACTAATTTTCAGGTATTTTTTAATTGGAGATTTAATATCTTTTGTTGAAGTCACTTCATTATATCATCCAATGGAGTAATATAGAGGTATAGTTTTGGTAATGATTTTTAGCTAGTCTTTTTTTTTTTCCATCAACCAATGTGTCATCTAATTTTAAATGAACAGTGGAATGTGTGCATTTTGATTAAACACATAACTATAACTTTGTGCAATTAGGAATTTCTATATATAAATGTTATATATATTGTTTGTGTAATTTGTATGTATGCATTTTTCTTCTCATTGTTTAGGCCTAGAAGTCCTGTACTGTAATCTTTACATATTCAAGGGAAGGATAAACAATGAGATAGCTTTCTTATTTATTTGGACAAATGATAAATGCAGTCTTTAAATTGCCAATGAAAAATTACCACACTGTCAGTTCAACTCATTAATAGAGATGATAGAGATCAAATTTAGCAGTACTGTTATTTAGTCTAAAAAGTAGGTGTAAAAGGAAGTATGGGAAAGTGATAGAGGAAGGAAAAGGAGAAGAGTTTCCTTTTCCCCTTCTAGATAAACATAGACCTCATGCAAAACAAAAGTTTAAAATGTGTCAGGTTTATTTTTGGCATCCTGCTAGTCTCTTTTTTTGCTTCTCTTCTGCAACCTCTTGTTCTGTCTTTAGGATCCCTTAGCTCCCTCGCACACTGTGTTCCCTTAGCATGGTGTTCCAGCACCTCATCCATACCTTCCAACTCCACAGAGCCTTCCTACGCCAGAATGTTCTCTCATCCCCGTCACACCACTTCTGAAGCTCCTCTTTATGCAGCTTCTCAGATAGGTGAAAGCAGCACACTTGATCTGAGCTGGTTCCCTCCTGTGTGTTAGATCAATAACAAGAGATAATTTTATATATATATGTATTTCTTTTTTTCTTTGTAACAACTTTATTGAGACTATAAAACCTTCCATTTTAGAGTGTACAATGCAGCAGTTTTTAGTACATTCACATAGCTCTGCAACTTCTACCACTATATAATTTTACAATATTTTCATCACCCCAAAAAGAAACCGCATACCCATTAGCACTTGCTCTCTATTCTTCCTCAAATCCCCAGTCCCTGACAGCTATTAATCTATTTTCTGTCTCTATGGCTTCTTCTCCTGGACGTCTTATATAAATGGGCCATACAGTATGTGGCCTTTTGTGTCTGGCTTTTACTTAGCATAGTGTTTTCAAGGGTCATCCACATTGTAGCATGTATCAACTCTACATTCTTTTTTATTCCTGAACAGTATCCCATTGTATGGATATACAACACTGTTTACCCATTCATAAGTTGATGGGCATTTGCCTTGTTTCTACTTTTTGGCTATTGCAAATAATGCTACTGTGAACATTCACGTACAGGTTTTTGTGTGAACACGTTTTTAATTCTTTTGGGCATATACCCAGAATTGGGATTGCTGGGTCATGTGGTAACTTTAACTTCTGGAGGAACTGCCAAACTATTTTGCAAAGTGGCTGCACCTTTTATATTCACAGCAGCAGTGCAAGAGGGTTCCAATTCCTCTACACCCTCTCTCACACTTGTTATTTAAATATTCAAACAAGACAAAGAGAAATATTTGTGGGCAAAAGGATCCCAAGTCCCATACATCTGCCATTATCGCATTGACATCTTTAAATTGTTTTCCACAGCTTCTTCCATTCTTCCACTTAAAAATCTGCAAGTTCTTTAAATCTCTCCAGTTCTGTTGTGTGTATGTGCATGAGGGTTGTAGTTTTTCTGTGGGCGACTCTAGTAGGAATTCTGAGTTGTGCCGTTGGTATGGTCATTTACTATATATTTCAGGATGTGTTTAGTACTATATGCAAATAATCATAAGAGAGGGAGAATATAGAAAGTAATTTTTCAATTCATAAACTTTCCATGTAGGTAACATTGCTTATTAATATTTTAAAACATTGAGTGGTTTGACTTTTTTCCTCTTAGCTGTCAGTTAGCTATGTAATTGATAACAATTAAAGGATGAAAATTATTTTAGTTCTTTGTTTAAAATTCTGATTTTAGTTTGGTCATGTTCTCAGCCATCCCTAACTGTGGGACATCTTCAGGCTGCTATAAAAATAGGTAAATAAATAAATGTCTTTGGCTTTCATAACTTTATCACATTTATCCGTGTTCAGGTGATGCAGATGAAGCTTCACATAGTTGCTTTGATTGCCCAGAAGGGAAATTTTTCCAAAACTTCAGCTCAGATTGTCTTAGATGGCCTTGTAGACAAGATTGGAGATGTGAAATGCGGGAACAATGCAAAAGAAGCTATGACAGCAATAGCCGAAGCTTGTATGTTACCGTGGACGGCTGAACAGGTTCGTGACATGGAGCTCTGTTTCCCTAAGTTTTCCCAAATCTTAATTTAAGATTACTAATTAAACTTTAGTTCTTCTCTTCTCAAGTAAAACTGTTTTTGATACTGCATTTTAATTTTTACCTTTAATAATATACTGTTGCCTGATAATTAAAATTTACTTTAGTCAAGAATATTCTCTTAAAGAGTAATTTTCTCTTAAGACATTATAATCCAGAGTGATCATTAATGAAAAGTTGTAAACAGTCCAGAATGCTTTTAATACTGCTGTCACTTACCTCATTTTCTTGTGGAAGTTAAATATTTCATTCCTAAGGCATTCTTGCAGTTGTATTAGCATCAGACAAAGCATGTTTCATTTATTCCTACCTTAATGTCATGCCATAATTCTGTGAGGACATATGAATGAAAACACAGATCTGTTGTTTTTTGTTTTCTCTTGCTCCAGGTTATGTCAATGGCTTTCTCACAGAAGAATCCCAAGAATCAATCAGAAACCCTGAATTGGCTGTCAAATGCAATAAAAGAATTTGGTTTTTCTGGGTAAGTCAGAAAGAAATTGAGTACAAAATAATGAAATGCTTTGCAATCTCTAACTGGTGATTATATTTGTTGTAGCTGTTTCTGCTTATTTCTGAGAAGCTAGAACTGGGTTGTCCAGTTTATATAAAACAAAACTACCTCTGCTCCTCAAAAGTCAGTGTTGGCTTGTGCTCCTGCATTTTGATATCCACTAACATTAGAGGTCCCTAAGTTATTTTTCCTCAAGTGTTAATAACTGTCCCACAGAAAAGCCAGTTCCAAGGATTTCTAGTGAAATATATTTGGAAATTACTACATATGATCATATTTGTTTAAGGATCCATAGTGCACATTGGTGAATTAAACGCTCTCAAGGTCATGCAGTAGAGAAGCTTGCTTAACTTGTTCACCCCACTGTTTCCCAAATTTATTTGCATATTGAACACATTTGTTTATTTTATCTAATGAAATTTTATGGAGCTTACTTTCTGCCAGGTACTTGCTAAGTAATAATTCGTTCGATTTAATCCTCATAAAAACCACGTGAGGTATTATTATCCCTGTTTTATAGATGAAGAAACTAGGGCACAGAAAGCTTAAATAATCTCCCCAAGTCACAGCTAGGAAGTGGCAAAGCCAAAGATTTGAATCTAAGCATTCTGTGACTGCTGTGCTGTGTTGCCTTTCGCTGTGCCTTGCTGTTTATCACAACGTGCCTCTTAATAGCTTGCAAACCAGTATTTTGAGTTCTACCAAGTGAAGAACTACAACTCTAGAAGTTGTCATTCAAGCAAAGAATTGTTTGTTAGGTCAGTATCTGTGGTGCTGTCCTCTCATAGTTGAGGGTGTTGTTATAATTCCTTCTTAATGTGTAGTCTTTGATGTAAAATTTATCTCTTGGCGTGACATAAAAGCCAGGTGAATATTCTCCTCTTTTTTATTCATCTGTGATCTTTCATTTATTCGATAACTACATCTTGAGCCCCTGTGATATTCCAGTCATTTGTTCCAGGCCCTGGGAATACATTATGGATAAGATTAAATTCCTGCTTTCACTGGACTTTTATTTGAGTAAGGGGAACTGACAGTAAGCAGTAAAAAATGTATCAGGAGGTATAAAAAATAAAGCAAGATAAAGGGTTAGGTGGTATCACCTTGGAGTGGTTGGGATGTGTTGTTTTCTATAGGGTGAAACAAGAGTCCTTCCTGAACCTATGGAATTTGAGCAGAGACCTTCAAGACATGAGGGAGGGGACCGGCCCCGTGGCTGAGTGGTTAAGTTCACACGCTCCACTGTGGCGGCCCAGGGTTTTGCCAGTTTGAATCATGGGCGCGGACATAGCTCCGCTCATCAGGCCATGCTGAGGCAGTGTCCCACATGCCACAATTAGAAGGACCCACAACTAAGAATATACAATTGTGTACCAGGGAGCTTTGGGGAAAAAAGGAAAAAAAATAAAATCTTTTAAAAAAAAACAAAAAAAGACATGAGGGAGCTAGCTGTGACAATCTGGGAGAAGAACATTCTAGACCAAGGGAACAACAATTGCAAAAGTCCTGTGGTAGGAGCACGTGTGATGTATTTAAAAATAACAAGGAATGATTATTCTTCGGAATGTAGCTGGAGTGAGATGAGTGAGGGGCCAGGTCATGCAGGGCCTCAGAGTTTTGAATAAGTTGGGAAACCGTTGGAAGATTTTGAACAGAAGAGTAGCAAGATCATTGTGACTACAGTCAGAGAGAACAGATAGTGAGGATCAAGGGCAGAAGCAGGGAGACTAATTAGTAGGCTGTTGGAATAATCCTGTCAGAAATTACAGTGGCTTAGACATAGTTTATAGAGATGGAAGTATTATGACTCAGGCTGTGTTTTGAAAGTAGAACTGAACAGGATATTGGGCATAAGAGAGAGAGGTGTCAAGGGTGACTCTGGAGTTAAGTGTGGCCTCAGCAACTAGAAGAGTGATATTGCTCTTTACTGAGGTTGGGAAGGCTGTGGGAGGAATAGGTTTTGGGATTGGGGTGTGGACAATGAGGAGTTTGGTTTTGACAGATATAGGACATCTACTAGGCATAGAAATGGAAGTGTCAGAAAGGCAGTGGGATATAGAATCTGGACTTCAGGAGAGAAGTCAGCACAGGATTTAGGAGTAATTAGCACATAGTATTTAAAGCTCACTTTAAATGACTGTGGAAAGAGAGTATAGGTGAGACTCAGGGACACAGCCAAAGTGAGCCAGTTCTAGAATCTGGCTTCATGAAATTCTTGAGCATTTTGAGGGTTTCATTTGTTTTTAATTCTAAATGTTATTTCTTCTAGGTTGAATGTGAAAGCTTTCATCAGCAATGTGAAGACAGCTCTTGCTGCAACAAACCCAGTGAGTCCACACCAGCACATATAGGGACAGAACAGCCGTCTTTGTGGCTCTGCTCTGGTTTGTAAAGTTCTTTTTGTTCCATCTGCCAGGCTGTGAGGACTTCTGCCATCACCCTACTTGGCGTGATGTATCTGTATGTTGGTCCCTCTTTGCGAATGTTCTTTGAGGATGAGAAGCCTGCCCTCTTATCCCAGATAGATGCAGAATTTGAGAAGGTAAAGGTTCCACAAATGATACAGTCTATTGGTGGACTTGAGAATGTTCATACTAAGCCTTTGGAATGAAGAATATTTGTGTTTGCTTTTATATGCATAAAGTATCCTTGGGAAGAATTCATAAGAAATTGAGCAAAAGCCTATGTGGAAGAGAATGTGGTATAGGTTGGCAGATTTTCTTCTTTTCAAAAATTTTAAAGGTACTACCTATTCAAACAGTACATTGAATATAACATTTAAAAAATTCTTAAATAAAAGAAACTTGACCCTCCTCAGATAGACTAATCAAAATTGCTAAGTTTTGGCAGACTTGCTCTAGCTTGTCTTGAGCATACAAGCCAAAAGACAGCTTCATGGGGCCAGCCCTGTGATGTAGTGGTTAAGTTCAGTGCACTCTGCTTCAGCAGCCAGGTTTGGGGGTTTGAATCCTGGGCCTGGACCTACACCACTCGTCAGCCATGCTGTGGCAGCAACTCACATATAAAGTGGAGGAAGATTGGCACAGATGTTAGCTCAAGGCTAATCTTCCTCAAGCAAAAAAAGAGGAGGACTGGCAACAGATGTTAGCTTGGGGATAATCTTCCTCAGGAAAAAAAAAAAAGATCATGATTGAGAAGTCATTTCAAATAGGTTTGTATAAAAATTCCTTTGGCTTTGTAGTCTCAAAATTGGAATCTAAATAGGAATTGAAATGTGTCCTGTGTATTGTAAAGGAGTATGAAAGTTTGACATAGGCACCACTCTCTAACTTGTTTGTTCTCATATCCCTCACCAGGTTCATTAGCCTCACTGATTTATTTGTGTGTGTAGATGCAGGGACAGAGCCCACCTGCTCCAACCAGAGGGATTTCCAAACACAGCACAAGTGGTACAGATGAAGGAGAAGATGGAGACGAACCCGATGATGCGGGCAATGATGTTGTAGATCTTTTGCCAAGAACAGAAATCAGGTAGGTTTGTTGCAAATGGTTTATTTGAGCTATTATACTGAATTCTTAATGGTGCCTTCTCTTTCTCAGTCAAGGGTACTTCTTTGACATCATTATTCTTTTAGGAGTCTGGAATTAAGGGTTCTGTCTTCTGTTTTTTCAGTGATAAAATCACTTCAGAGTTGGTGTCTAAGATTGGTGACAAAAATTGGAAGATCAGGAAAGAAGGCCTAGATGAAGTAGCAGCTATTATCAATGAAGCAAAATTTATCCAACCGAATATAGGTGAACTTCCAGCTGCCTTGAAGGGTCGTCTCAATGATTCAAATAAAATCTTGGTACGTAGAACAACATATGCCTGTTCTTTTCTCTCCCCCCTCTCTCCTGCAGGAGGTTCCTTTTCAGTGTAAGCTTCACCAGCAAGAAAATGAGTGGTCACTTTATTTGCTTTGAACTAGGAATAGCTTCCTTTAATTTCTGATGTGTGCCTCCAGATATGTTGGTAGATGGCTGGTTTATTAATCACATTGCTTTTTACAGGACTCTAATGTGAAATATCTTTATGTAAAACCCTGAACATGCTTAATTTCTAAGTTTTAAATTTGGCTTTTTATGTTAGGATTTTCTTAAGCTAATTAGAGTAGCATCATAACAAGCTCATTTCCCTTTCTCTTAAGTAGGCCAGAAACATGCAACTGCGTTGCCTGTATAGCAGCAAACTTGCAAAACTGTGAACACGGTTCGCTCCTGACTTGAACATAGAGTGTTGGCTCTTTCCACTCAGGTGCAGCAGACGTTGAACATCCTCCAGCAATTGGCAGTGGCCATGGGCCCGAACATCAAGCAACATGTCAAGAACTTAGGCATCCCTATCATCACAGTCCTCGGAGACAGCAAGGTAAACCTGACTCTTCTCCACAGCCCTGCTCTGGAACAGGCCAGCCGTACTCCTGGGCTAAGAATAATTCTCTTTCTCACGTTTGAGACACATGTAAGCAGTTTATAAACCTGGCGGAGAACAGAATATTAGGAGGAAAATAGTAAACATGTTTACCTCCCAGGCAGTATTAATGTGACCAGATATGTCACTTAGTAGCTTTGTGACCTTTAGATAAATTATTTATCTTCTGAGATTGTTTCTTTATCTGTGAAATTTCATTCTTACAGAATTAAATAGGAGTCTGTACATAAGGTACCCATATGTATATATACATACACACACACACTCAAAAAATGGTCGCTGTTATTGTTATGACATCATTATTGGAAGTGTTGGTGTAGGGGGCCAGCCCCGTGGTATAGTGGTTAAGTTTGGCGTGCTCTGTTACAGTGGCACAAGTTCACGGATTCAGATCCTGGCTGCAGACCTACACCACTCATCAGCCATGCTGAGGAGGCGACCCACATATAAAGTGGAGGAAGATTGGCACAGATGTTAGGTTAGGGCTAATCTTCCTCAGAGGGGAGAAAAAAGTATTGGTATAAAGAGTAAATAAATATATGGATTTTTGGATGTATTTATTTCTATCTTTCTCCCTGAACCACTAGAGCAGGATTTCTAGCACTTCAGTAAGATACTTGTGGTTTCACAGTCCTAGAATTAGTCTCATTGAAAGTTGTAGGCCTCTAATATCTAGCCCTAGACTGAATATTTGAATGTCTCTTTATTGTTTGTGTAATTTATTTAATGTGAGGAATTGAGCTCTTTTAATATTTTTTCTGTCAATAAATCCTTCTCATTCTATGAATGCAAATTAATTTTTAAAAAGTTCAATTAAGGGGCCGGCCCGGTGGCACAGCAGTTAAGTTCGCACGTTCTGCTTCTTGGCAGCCTGGGGTTTGCCGGTTTGGATCCCGGGTGCGGACATGGCACTGCTTGGCAAGCCATGCTGTGGTAGGCATCCCACATATAAAGTAGAGGAAGATGGACACGGATGTGAGCTCAGGGCCAGTCTTCCTCAGCAAAAATAGGAGGATTGGCACTAGTTAGCTCAGGGCTAATCTTCCTCAAAAAACAAAACAAAACAAAATGTTCAGTTAAATTATTAGTAATTTCAGTCTAACCATTATGAGTCCACTAACGTGTAGAATTACATTCTTTGGCAGATAACCATGGACATAAGAGCCCCCAGAGATTCAGGAAACAGAACCTAAGAGTTCGTTCACCTTACGTGATATTTTATGCCCAGGTCATTGTGTTGCCTAATTAACTGAGTACAAGATCTTCACAATTTGGAGTTTTATGTTTCTACTTTACTTTGAAGTTTTAGTACAACTGTGGAACTAGATTCTGTTTCAGAAGATGGTTCAAAGCGTGTTAATGTAGACCTTAGAGAAACCCCCGTTGTTCATCTTCACAAAGTGACAAGCTCTGCCCTCCTTACCTCTAAACCATAATTGATGGTATCTTTGCTAATTCTCTCCTCCCTTCAGAACAATGTTCGAGCTGCTGCCCTAGCGACTGTGAATGCTTGGGCAGAACAGACTGGCATGAAGGAATGGCTGGAGGGAGAAGATCTTTCTGAAGAACTCAAAAAGGAAAATCCTTTCTTGAGGCAAGAGGTTAGTACTGCAAATATGTGCTTTACTTGTGTCTTTGATCTTCTTAGAGGACTGGACCTACCAAATAAATACTCACGTATGGATAGAATGAGCTTCAGTATCAAATGGTTGACAAAGTGAAACCAAATTCCTGGGGCTTTCATATTCATGTGCTTCTTTTTTCCTTTCATATGCTTTTTTAACAATAAAACTTTTTAAAGGACTAGCCTTTTTGTGAAATGTTCTCCTTTCTTGAGCTTTTAAATGGTAAAATAAGGGGTTTTAATCAGAACATAAAAGTAGAGTTCAGTATTCAAAAATTCATCAATGTAATCCATCATACCAACAGGCTAAAGAAGAAAAATTACATGATCCTATCAGCTAACACAAAAAAGGGATTTGAGTAAATCCAACACCTATTCAGGATAAAAACTCAGCAAGTTTGTAATGGAAGAAAATGACTTCAACTTGTTAAAGAGCATCTACAAAAAACCCTCTACTGATAATATCATACTTAGTGGTGAAAGACGAGATGCTTCCCCCGCAGGTGAGGAGCACGCCGAGGATGTCGCTTTCGCTGCTGTTCTCAGCATAGTACTGCAAGTTCTAAGCACTGCAGTAAGGCAAGAAAAAGAAACGAGGGCACACAGGTTAGGAAAAGAATGAATAAAACTATCCCAACTGCAGATAACATGACTGTCTACGTAGAAAATCCCAAGGAATCTACAAGTAAACTTCTAGAATCCAGAATTGAGTTCAGCAAGATTGCAGGATAAAAAAATCAACACACAAAAATCCATCACATTTCTTTATAATACAGTGAACATGTGGAAACTGGAATTAAAAACAATACCACTTCCAGTTGTTCAAAAGTAAATGAAATCCTTAGATAACAAAACAAATACAGAATATGTATACTGAAAATTACAGAATACTGATGAAAGAATTCAAAGAAGACCCAAACAATTGGAGAGACGTGCCGTGTTCATGGATTTGGAAGACTCAACGTAGCAGAGATGTCACATCTCACGGAATTGATCTATAGGTTTAATGTAATTCCTATCAAAATTCCAGCAAGTTGGTTTTTTTGGGTTTTTGGGGGGGTTTTTTGGTGAGGAGGAGTGGCCCTGAGGTAACATCTGTTGCCAGTCTTCCTCTTTTTGCTTGAGGAAGATTGTTGCTCAGCTAACATCTGTGCCAGTCCTCCTCTTTTTTTGTATGTGGAATGCTGCCACAGCGTGACTTGATGAGCGGTATGTAGGTCCAAACCCAGGATCTGAACCTGCGAACCCCAGGTCACCAAAGCAGAGCATGTGAACTTAACCGCTATGACACTTGGCCGGCCCCAGCAAGTTTTTTTAATAGATAAAGACAAGCTTATTTTAAAATTTAAATTCTGGCTAAAACAATCTTGATAAAGAAGAAAAAAATGGAAAGAATCACTCTACCATATATGAGGGTTACTATATTGCTAACATAATCAAGACACTGATGTAGAGGAAGGGAAGGGGAGGATAGACACAGATCAGTGGAACTGAGAGGGAACCCAGAAATAGATCCACACAAATATGATCAACTAATTTTTGACAAAGTTATCAAAGTAATTCAGTGGAAAAAGGAAGGATAGCCTTTTCAACAAATGACTGGAACAACTGTCATCCGTAGACAAAAAATCAATCTCAACCTACACCTCACATCTTATACAAAAATTAGCTCAAAATGGATTGTGAACTTGAATATAGAACATAAAACTATAGAATTTTTTTTTTTGAGGAAGATCAGCCCTGAACTAACTGCTGCCAGTCCTCTTTTTGCTGAGGAAGACTGGCCCTGAGCTAACATCTGTGCCCATCTTCCTCTACTTTATATGTGGGACGCCTACCACAGAATGGCGTGCCAGGTGGTGCCATGTCTGCACCTGGGATCCGAACTGGCGAACCCCGGGCCGCTGAGAAGCGGAACGTGCACACTTAACGGGTGTGCCACGGGGCTGGCACCTAGAATTTTTAAAGATAACATAGGAGAAAACCTTCAGGGTATAAAAGTTCTTCAGGCAAAGAATTCTTAGACTTGATCACAGTCCATCAAAGGGAAAATTGATAAATTGGACCTCATCAAAATTAAAAACTTATTCTGCAAAAGACCATTTGAAGAAGATGAAAAGCGACAGTGGGAGAAAATGTTTGCAAACTCTGTGTCTGGTAAAGGACTATTATCTAGAATATATAAATAACTCTCAAAACTGAACAGTAAAAAAAAAAAACAATTAGAAAACGGGCAAAAGATATGAACAGACATTTCACTGAAGAGGCTATGCATGCAGATGGCAAATAAGCCCATGAAAGATGTTCAACATTATTAGCCATGAGGGAAATATAAATTAAAACTACAATGAGATATCACTACACAATTATCAGAATTACTAAAATAAAAAATAGTGATAACACCAAATGCTGGAGAGGATATGGAGAAACTTGAACACTTTGCTGGTGGAAATGTAAAATGGTATAGTCACTCCAGAAAATAGCTTGGCAGTTTCTGATAAAACTAAACTTATAGTTACTGTATGACCCAGCAATTACGATCTTGGGCATTTATTGCAGAAAAATGAAAATTTATGTCTACACAAAACTCCATACACGGATGTTCATAGCAGCTTCAGTCATAATAGCCAACAACTGGAAGCAGCCCAGATAGCCTTTTATCAGCTAAATGTTTAAACAAACCGTTGTATGCTCATATGTGTAATACTGTTTAACAATAAAAGAAATGAATCACTGATACATGGCAACAATTTAGATAAATCTCCAAGGAATTATGCTGAGTGACCAAAACCAATCCAAAACAGTAACACACACTATGATTCCATGTCTACAACCATGTTTGAAATGACAAAATTTTAGAAACAGAGAATAGATTAGTGGTTAACAGGGATTAGGGAGAGGAAGGAGGAGGGAGATGGGTATGATTATAAAAGGGAGAACACAATGGGATCCTTGCAATGGAACTGTCCAAAATCTTGACTGTGATGGTGGATGTACTAACATACATGTGATAAAATTGTATGGAATTAAATATACACACACACAAATGAGAACAAGTAAAACTGGAGCATTCTGAACAAATCTGTGGATTGTATCAATGTGAGTATCCTGGTTCTGATCCTACAGTGATTTTCAGGAAGTGTTACTATGAGAGGAAACTGGGTAAAGGGTGCATAGGATCCTCTGTAGTATTTCTTATTACTGCATTTGAATCTAGTCGCCTCAGTAAAATTTGCAGTTAAAAAAGAAACATAATTGTTTTAGAGGTATGAAGAAAAACTTGCTGTAAGGCTGAAAACAAGTCCTGCTAGAACTTGTCATCTTCTGATCAAATAAATAAGTGTTTTGCATCTTCTCTAGAATTTCAAAAAAGAAGAAAAGTTTCTCGTCTTTAAAATGATTTGAGCTATTAAAACTTTATAATTTAATCTCCAAATATGATCCAAAGAACTGTATCCTTATCTTCAAGAAGAGTGTCATCTCTGCGTATGTTATTTAAATATAGCACAGTTCTTGAACAATGAAAATTACTGATTTCAAATGGGAAAGTTGTAGTGTAAGAACTAATTCAGTGTTTGGTGCTGATAAAATCACCAAGCTTGAGATCATAAATAATAATTTTCACCTGAAGTTATAACTGGTCTTTGTTTCTTTTGGCAGCTTCTGGGCTGGCTGGCTGAGAAACTACCAACTCTTCGTTCCACCCCCACAGACCTTGTCCTTTGTGTTCCTCATCTCTACTCCTGCCTAGAGGATCGCAACGGAGATGTGCGAAAGAAGGCCCAAGATGCCTTGCCGTTCTTCATGATGCATTTAGGATATGAGAAAATGGCCAAGGCTACTGGGAAACTAAAGGTGCTACTTCTTGTTGTTGCTACTGCTGCTGTTGTTAAAAGCCATTAGAAAAATATTGAACGTGAATTTATATAGGCAAAAGATCATATTACCTCCTAGGCTTTTAAGCTTGAAATCCCATTGAGAGCAAAAATATGATATTTAGCAGTGTAGAACTTCTAAAGAATCTGCTGATTCTGCAGAAGTGAAAACTGACCTTCTAGAATGGTAGCTAATTTAGTGTGACATCATAATGTTTTACTTCTCTTGCCTTATGAGCTGCCTCCCTTACACTTCATTGGTATTTCAAAACTAGGAGCACAGTGGTTTGTTTGACAGCAGATCTATGAGTAAGCACAGTATGAGTGTATCATTTATGTGGCCTCTCACTTCTTCTGTTATACTGTCTCCGTAGCCAACTTCTAAAGATCAGGTGTTGGCCATGCTAGAGAAAGCCAAAGCTAACATGCCAGCCAAGCCTGCTGCAACTGCTAAAGCAACTTCCAAACCAATGGGAGGCTCAGCACCAGCCAAATTCCAGCCTGCCTCAGGTAACTGTGTTTTGAGAGGTTTACTGGGGAAGGAGGCAGCCCAAGGGAACTTTAGAAAGAAATCCAGCCTTCATTTTTACCATGTTTCCTCGCAACTTAGAACCCAAGCCCTCGCTCTCTTCACCCTCCTTCCACAAACATTTGTCAAGTATTATGCTAGGAACTGTGCTGAGGATACAAAGATGACTAATTTGGTTTCTAAGTCCAAAAAAGAATTTTGGAGTAGCAGGTTGAGATACTCTACAAAGCGAGTATTTCATCATATTTTTAAGGTTTCCACAACTGTTTTCTGCTATTGGATATTATAGTTAGGGAATTGGAACCATCTAGCTTAATCCCCTTTATTAATAGCTGAGGAAACCCAAAGAGGTTAAGTTGACTTCCACAAGGCCAGACAGCCAGCCTGAACTAGCACAGAATTCCCCTTAGTCCCAGATGAGTTCTCCTTCTGCTACACTTGGCCGTTTGTTGATCCATTTACTAATCTTTAAGGGAAGATTCTTGATTGCTTCATCCTGGTGTTAAAATTCCATCATTAAAAAAACTCTAATCTGTAACCACTTCTCTTCTAGACCTATTGCTTAAACAAAATCATATTATTCTGTTTAGTGGAATAGAAATTGTTGATGCTATGAAGTTAGAAATTTTACATGTGTAAAACTGTTGGTAACAAAGTATATAGTCAATTATAACATTTATTGGAATCTTGCTTTGTAGTAAATACTGAGCATCAAATGTGACAGACCCTACCCTAAGGAAGTAACAATCTAGCAAAAAGATTTTTTTAATTGCTATTTAGAAAATAGTTTTAAAACTACAGTTTAAATGTTGGTAAAGCAGATGCAGATTGATTAATTTCTTGAGGTTAGGCTTAAAGAGAATTTGAGGGAGAAAAAAGATGAAAAAATCTTAACTGCAAACATCTTATAAATTGATACATGTAAAACTACAGGCATTCTCATCATTATATATTTAATCTTCCCAGAATAACGTGATATTAGAGTTTATATTTATAGCATGAACATGGTTTTTTCCTCAAAGCACCTGTTGAAGATTCTCTTTCTGGCACTGTTGAACCCAAGCAAGATCCAAAAAAGGCCAAAGCTCCAGGAGTTTCCTCTAAAGCAAAGGTATGTTAACGCCACATGCTTGGACGTAGAATTGCTTTTAAGTGTGTTTTATACATTGAGTCACGCTGTTAGGAAAGATCATATTATATATGGAAGGACATTACTACTCTTGATATTATCAAGTTATAAAGTATTTATTTATACAAGTTTCTGTGGATCATTGTTAATAAGTCCCCAAAACAGAGACACCCTGCTCTCAAGAGGTGTTGCCATGGTATCTGTCATGCAGATCTTTGGGGAAGGTTTGCAGTATTGGAGAAGGAAATCGTGCATAGCTCTGGCAGAACAATCTCTCAGGCTGACTGTGATTTGAGAGAAGGAAGGTGATCGGTTTCCTTCGTGTTCTGCACAGTTAAGCGTCACACTAGAAGGCGTTCTGATGTACCTTCCATTCCTGCGCCATGGGGACTTATTTTGATGCGTCACCAATCCTTTTAGCATCCATACAGAGTGAGACATTTCAAGAAAGATGTTCAAATGCTTAACTTTAAATATCCCCTGGGTATTTTTTCATTTAAGTTTTTGAATCACAGCAAATTGTCGTCAGTTTCTATATTAGGATTCAGAGCTCGTCGCTGTATTTAGGGTATTCATTATTTAATACTTACAAAAGGAAAATTCCAGAACTGTGCAATCAGTAGTAAATCTAATCGTAAGTATAAGTAGAGGAAACTATTTCATTAACTGCATGTAACTGATGAAAAAGAAGACTAGGAACCGTTTTATTACCAAGTGCATTTATTATTACATGCTCATTGTAGAATGGCACTCTGTGGCCATTCGTCTAAATATTACAATTATTTGTTTCCTTTCCCCTGTATGTGGGTCCTTTAACTCAGTGAGTTAATTTAAGTGGGTAGTTATCTTCTAAACTGTCCAGTGAAGCTGTTCTTTTCTTGTCCTCCTCCCTGTCCTCATCCCAGATTTAACAAGTGCTTATTTTAGTATTTTGATCACAAGTGCTTTGAAGTATTTTTGACTCTGTTCTTAATGCCATACTTTTTTTTCCCCAGTCTTCTGCAGTTTACAAAGCAATTTCACATAAATGGTCTCATATTTGTTTTGACTCAGTGACTTCAGTGTTTGAACTAGAAAGAAATTCTGGCCTACTAGAAGTGGTGGGCTCCTGCTATGTTTATAATAATAATAGTTCCGGTAATGAAAATCAAATATTACCTTAAATATCTATACCAAGTGTTCACTATCTTCTTTCTGTCTGATGCAACAATTCTACATCTTAGATTATTTTTAAAAACCACTTGAGTAACTTAAGTATTTAAAATGTTTCTAGCAACTTTCTCTAGAAACATTCAAAGGGTTTCCAGTTACAGTGATGTGACAAGTATATTTTATATGCAGAGAAACAAAAAGTCTTTCTCAATTGATGTGAAATGTGTGAATGCCATTCAAAATGTCATTAATATGAAGAGCTATAATGGTGTTGAAGATTTCAAGAAAGAAAAGATCTATTCAATAAACAAAAATTGTGACCCAGACCAATGATAAAGTAATAGAGCTTTTCCAACTACATTACATGCCAGTCCAAGGACTAACCAACAGTGACTTAAGAATACTGCTAGAAACATTTCTAGAAAACCTGTGCAAAAACATAATATATGCAGGGTTCTGTGGCTCATCTGTGTCTTGTGTGTGGAATGTAACACACAGAGATGTCTCTGGTTATATGGTGCCCTTTTACTGGGCAGCAGCATCGTGTTGCCAAGGAGCAGTAGCCCAGCTAACCAGTATTCCCTGAACCTTGGCTGCAGAGCGCCCAAGGGAAGAAGGCGCCGAGCAAAACCAGCTTAAAGGAAGATGAAGACAAATCTGGTCCTATTTTTATTGTTGTTCCAAATGGAAAGGAGCAAAGAATGAAAGATGAAAAAGGATTAAAGGTAAGGAAGGGATAAGAATCCTCAGGAATTTTTTGCTTGTTTGTTTTTGTTTTGTTTTGTAATCTAGAATAATTCTGCTGTTGAAATTCGCATTGTGAAATATCTAGTAAGTGACTGAATCTTTTGCTTATAAATTATTTCTCTAAGACTACTTTATGGAAGCATTAATTCCTAGAAAAGAAGCTACAGAATGGAGCTACTGCCTATTTTTCCCCCAAATAGAAATAGAAGTATTTTGGTTTTTTAAAAAAATCTTCAGAATCAAAGAATGGAAATTATTCATTGATTTTTATCAACTACACGTATGTAGTAGGCTACTTCTTTAATCCTTCTTGTACCTGATACCTTAAAAGACAGATTTGGTGACTATAAATAGCTAGTTCAGTCATCTCTCTTTTGATGTCATTTTGGTTTTATTAGGCAGTTTATCTTTCAAAATATATACATTGTTTTAAAAAACATTCAAGCAGTACAAAAAGTGCAGAGTATCGTGTGAAAGCGTGTCCCCCATTCCACTCTCCCTCCATAGGGAGGCTGTTATTACCAGATTTTATGTGTATGACTAAAAATATCATTCCGTAACTATAGGATCATGTATGTACAAATATATAGGCCTCTTTCTACACAAATGGGAACATACCATACTTTGTTCCGTATCTTATTTTTTCTTTTAATGATATTTGAATTATCTTAAATGTTGTTCCATATCTGCATGCGTATATACATTCATTCTTTTTATTGGTTCATCATATGTGTGTACCTCTCTTTATCCCCAGCCCACTATGTCGAACATGTAGGTTACTTCTAGTCTTTCACCTTATAAACTATACTGCCGTAAGCATCTTTGAATGTAGGTCTTTGTGCATCAATGTGAGTACATCTATATTAAACTCCTAGAATGGTATGTGCATTTTTAATTTTGATATTTCAAATTTTCCCTTTATTAAAGTTGTACCAACAGTGTCCAACATGTTATATAATAATAGAGCACTGATTTTTCTCTAAGAATTACTGAGAATTTATTCTCGTTTTCAGAGTTAGGCTTCCCGAAGTATGACAGCTTGAAAGTACATTTGCTTTCATATTTAATTACAAATTAATCTTGTTGAATTGAAAAGAATCCTATTAAGTAGATTCCTGTAGCTGCTTTAAATAGAGTTCTCTGCCTCATTTCAGTTGGACGTCTTACAGCTCCTTTTCGCTGGTTTTTGTCAGGTGCTGAAGTGGAATTTTACTACTCCACGGGATGAGTACATTGAGCAACTAAAGGCTCAGATGTCCAGCTGTGTGGCTAAATGGTTACAAGATGAGATGTTTCACTCAGACTTTCAGCACCATAACAAAGCCCTTGCTGTCATGGTTGATGTAAGTTTGCGGTAGATAAATATGCATATATCTCGGGCGTGTGAAAATACTAAGCCCTGTGAAATAATCAGAAGTTTGCATGACTTGAGAATATGCCATGTTCTCTGTGTTTAGAGCTTTCTTATTATTTGATAGAATAAATGACTGTATGTCTATAATTTTAGGTCTTAAATGGAGGCTTAAAAATTTATCATTTTCTTGGGCTGGCCCCGTGGCCGGGTGGTTAAGTTTGCGTGCTCCGCTGCAGGCTGCCCAGTGTTTCGTTGGTTCGAATCCTGGGCACGGACATGGCACTGCTCATTAAACCGCGCTGAGGCGGCATCCCACATGCCACAACTAGAAGGACCCACAACCAAGACTATACAACTACGTACCGGGGGGCTTTGGGGAGAAAAAGGAAAAAATAAAATGTTAAAAAAAAAAAAATTATCATTTTCTTTTCAGACTCTAGTAAAATTTAAGATGTA